TCATTTGGGTGAAACTGTGAGAGTAAGCACTTATACCAATAAAACCAATATAATGGCATATGTTTATTGTCTCAGTATCTAAAATACATTAAGCTAGATCAAAACAAGGCACGGTTAAAGAAACTTAAGTGTGAGATATCATTACCTCTTATTGTTAGCCTAGTAATGCTTTCTACTACTAGACATGTCGAGAAGGCAAAAACAGGAACTGATGATGAATTGCGTTGAGAAGAACTATAGAGAAGGTTTAAATTGTTTAGCTGATGATCTCTCAATGAGTTTCTGTCTTTACTGCATCTTGCTATTTTAACCACTGCTCATCCAGTGGCCTTCTTCATTCCAAGAATCTCCTCTGGACATTCATGAGAGAAGTAAAGTGAATGGGGCTCTAGATCCCTTTCCTTTTGTTCAGGGGCTCCACTGTAAGATCAGCTAAGAGAAAGGGATCAGCTATCTTAAAACAGATAGCTGGGCCAGATCATGTGGGATTATGGTTTTCAGGGTTAAAAGGCACTTTTGCTGCCTTATCATGCTCTTCTCTACTTGCTAGAATAACATGCTTTGTTCCCTGTGTAAGACACACACACAGTGGGTCATGTGTGGTTAACCAGACATTGAGCATTACAATGCTCTCAAGTCATTCCTTACTGTTAAACCCTATGGAATTATTGATTTGAGCATTATCACAACATAGTCCTACCTCATTTGATTATTTTCTTTTACACTTCCAATAACCTAGAGAACTCCTGAAGTCTCTTTTCTTGAGAGATATATGAGTATGTCTGAAGACTCCATTGAATTCTTAAATTTCTTACTGCCAAAAAGGGAAAAAATAAAAACTAAAAAAATTATCCGCAGGGCTGGCAACTGTAGTCCTGGCTACTTGGCAGGCCAAGGCAGGTGGATTGCTTAGACTGAGGAGTTCAAGGCTGTAGTGCCCTATGGCTGGCCTGTGAATAGTCACTGCACTCCAGCCTGGGCAACACAGCGAGACGCCCCTGCCCTCTTAAAAAAAAAAAAAGTTATCCCACAGAGGAAATTTAGAGCAGTGAAAATACTGTGCATGATACTCTAAAGGTGGATACATGTCATTACACATTTGTCCAAACCCACAGGAAGTACAACATCAAGAAGAGTGAACCCGAATGTGAACTAAGGACTTTGGATAGCAATGATGTGTCAATGTGGGTTCATTAGTTGTGACAAAGGTACCACTCTAGTTGCCATGTTGATAATGGGGGAGGCTACGCATGCCTTGGGGCAGAGGGCATATATAACTTCCTCTCATTTTTGCTGTGAACTGAAAACTGCTCTAAAAAGTCTTTCAAAAATCCCTTACCTCATTAATGATTTTGAATGAGCTTCCCAGGAATGTCCTAGAAAGGAATCTCCTTGCCATGTCCTAAGCTGGGTGAGTAATAAGAGGAAGCAAGCGTTGGGTGAACAGGCGACCTGCCCTCAGGTGGCCTAGGAAGTGCGTCCCCTCCCTCCTCAGCATCCGTGTCCCAGTGGTGTGACTGTGCACTCGCTTGTGCCTGCCCCAAACCGGTGCACACGCCAGAGACCAATCCAAGCACGGTCACTACCACTCCTCCTCCCCGGCTCCTTCTGCCACCGTCCGCTCCCTACAAGTTGACACCCGGGCTCCCCCGGACTTGCTTTACTTTCCCCTCTCCTCCCACCCAGCGACCCCCTCCCACCCGCGGCGCCGATGGGCCGCCGGCGGAGCCACCGAGTATGCGCGGCCACCCCGAGCATGCTCAGTAGCGCGCGCGGCGCCCCGGAGCTGCTCCACCGAGCCGCGGCGGACGCGGAGCTCTTCGCGGCTGCTGCGGGAGCCACAGGAAGTGAAGCGGCCCCGCCGGGCCACTGCGGCGGCAGAACCCGAGGCGGAAGGGGCGCTGCGGCGGCGACGTCGTTGACGAGAGTAGCCGAGGGAGCTGCGCGCCGAGGAGACTCGCTCGCTCGGAAGCCGGATCCCGAGCCGGACAGGATGGATCATCACCAGCCCGGGACTGGCCGCTACCAGGTGGTGAGTTCCCGGCCTCCTGTGCCTCCCGGAACCCGGGTCTGCCTCCCGCCGTGGCCCCGGGGGTCCCTTTCCTCGGGTTATTCGTGGGGGAGACGTGTATTATTATCATTGTTGTTGTTGTTTGGAGGTGCTTCACCCACACCTCTCCTGTGGACCTCCGTCTGTGACTTCTTCGAGACCCTTCTCTCCCGCCCCAGGTCTCCAAGCTCCTGAAGCCCCGTATAAGACACCCTCCCCCGGCACACCTTAAAACTTATGTCTGTATTTCTCACTTTTATCATTTTCTTATTTCCTGACCCAGTCACTCCTGAGACATTCTAGTCGATTGTCTACTGGAAATGGGGCTGAGTTCACACACCTGCCTGGAAGGTGATCGCCGTCATAAATGGGGTGGGTGGGCCGGTGGGTGGGAGGAGGAGGTGTAAGCCCTACGTGGGGTGGGATGTGGATTTATTTGGGGGAAAATGTGGGTTAGGAATTGTAGAACTGAAGAGAACGAATATCCGTAATGCTTATCTTGTCTGTCTGCTTTAGTTAACCTTGTCATTTTTGTCCTTTTCCATTGTGTTAGTATTAAAAGTGATTGTATTCTTTTTTTCCCCCTTCATCCTCACTTTTTTTTCTTTTTTGGCGGGAGGGGAAACAGGAAGTTTTATTAGAAAAAATTCTAATCTTGTTCGAAAAATTATTTTTCATTAACTACATGGTTTTAACCATATAAACCTTGGTAACTGTAAGTTGAAATGAGTGACATGTATTTCTCTGTATTTTCAGTGTCAATTTTTCTGATATATTTTTTCCTTTGTGTATGCTGGTGGTGTCATTGGAGATTCCTATTGTAAACCCTATTTAAAAGTGGACTCAGCAATAGTAGACTATTCTCTTGCAGCTAGGTAGCATGTTATTCTGTAAACTTTCTGATGGTGTTTTTGTTAAGTCTGTTTACCAAGGGAGAGGAGAAAAGCATTAATATGTAGTGCTAGTGGTGCAGTTTATGGTTTGTAAAATTTTACAAATTTAGGTATGTTAATCCCAGATTTCACCTTTCAAATGTATTTGCAGATGTAACACTTAGTTATGAACGAGGAATTTCTATTAATAAGTATATTCTGACAAATACGAAGGACACTGTAAGATGAGGTCCCCATGTATGTAATTTTGCATTTTTCTAAGATAAAAACTCGCAATGCTTCCATTTTCAACTGATTTATATCCTGTGAAACCTCTAAATGATCCATATTCTGAATCCTCTGAAATTGTATCATTTTTTTTCCAGAATTGCTTGGAAAGTGTTGTTGCTTCCAGTCTGGAAAGCGTTTTTCAATTTATCACCCTTTTGGTGGTTTGATTTTTTTTTTTTAAGGCATTCTTATTTTTGTAAATGTTAGTAAAAATAAAATGCAGTAAATAAATATTGAATAATATTAGCAGTGGAGCTTGTTTCATTTTTCTAATCTTTCCTATTTCTATGTGTTTCTCTTAACGAATAAGGTGATGTGAATTCTTTCCCTTTGGATGTTTAGCTTATCAGAATCCACTATGTTCTTATATACATCATTATTCAAAATATTTTTAACTGATGTAGCTGTGCCTTAAAATAATATTTTATATTGTCACATTTGTTTTCAATAGTTATGACTACTTGAGACTTATTTTTTAAAATTCCTGCTACCGAAATTTTGAAATTTGCTCTCGGTTTTCAAATATTTTTTTTTCTCTATGATTCTTTTCAAAATAAGTGGACATATTTTATTGCTCTTTTTTCAAACTGAAGATGTGTCCTACATAGACTTTGAATGGGTGGAGGTATTCCTTGAGAGTAGAGGGCAAAAATCAGTCCTAAAGATACGACATACCAGTCCTTTTACAGGATACAACTGTAAGTAGGTAGGACAACAGATTGTTTTTCTTGTAAGGCAAAGCATTAGAGAATCTTAGTACAATTTAAATTTGGATTCTAATTTCTTTTACTGTGTAATTAACACAGTGATTTCATCTGTACAGCATAACTCTTGGTTTTGTTGAGAATGGCCTGATTAGTAACTATATCTAGGTATATGCCAGAGAAGCAGCTAAAGTGACATTTCCAGTAGACTTTTTAAGCTAGGGATCAATCTGTGTTCATATGTTGAACACAACTATTTTGTGGTTGCCTTTAGTTCAGTTTTTGGGGAAACTGGAATGAATAAACTGGAGTAATAAACAACTTCAGTTGTTGACTGTTAAGAGATGACTAAGTCAGGAGATAGGTAAGTATACTTGGGGTTCGTGTGATACATGATGTTAATTTATCACTTATTTAAAGAGTTAAAATACAGTTCTTCATAACTGGTTAGTAGTGATGCCTAGGACTATCAGAATGCCTTACTACCACTAAGCAATGCACGAGCTTTATCTAGAAACTGCTTTTTCTGTGGTCTCTTCTTTTTTACTGTTGTTAAAAGGGCCCAAATTTTGTTAAGTAAAGCAGTGGATAACAATGCAGAACTACCGAAAGTCGTGATTGTTACCCTTCTAATTTCAGAAAAAGGCAGATATGATAGATAATTTCATTGTGTTATGGGAAATTCAGTTTTGTTTGATAGGAAATGAGCGATGTGGCCAAACTATGGAGTAGTAGTCTTGGCTTGCAGCTGTTAGACCACATTCTAACTTTGATGTTCTCTATTTTAAAGGATAATGTACCTGTACCAAGCTGCCTACTAAGACTTAAAAGGTATTCTGTGTACAAGTTAAATTGGCAGTGTTGATTGTAGCAGTAGTTTCCCAAATTATATTCCAGAATGATGATAAGTGTTCTTGGAAGATTTAACATATCTTAACATATTGAAACATACTTTAATGACATATTAAAACCAAGAACAATTCTACAGTAAAGAATAGTTTGGATGTGTTTAACCTAGCTTTTCCTAATTTTTGACCACAGGTTTTTTTGTTTGTTTTGCTCTTTGTTTTTAAAATTTTAAGATATTAACATTTTCAAACTATTAGTTTTCCATAGAACATAATTTGAAGCATTCATTCTGTGAAACTGTAGGTACTTTGCTTTTATATTTGGAGAATTAGAGTTGCCTTTGATAAATAAGCTGGAAAGGAGGCTTAACTATTAGTGGGTAAAAAACCACAGGTTTTAAAGTTATGTAGGCTTTTATTTAGGTCGTAGTGTTAGCAGTTTGTTTGATCTTGGCTTAGTTACTTCACATCTTGAAGCCTCAGTTTCCTTATGTTAGTACTTAACCTCATTAGGATTATGAGAATTAAATAATGTTATATAAATAAAACATATAGAGATTGGTGCATGATAAATAAATACTCTTTTTATAAGCTAATAAGTTTGTTAATGTTTCATGGTTGCTGGCAGAAAACAGGAGACCCCCAGGTCGGAGACAAATAACATTATCACTCATGGGACAGCAAGCAGCATGAACATCAGCATGTTTGCTTAGGTTTTCATTGCTACCAAGTCCTGTCAGTGTGCTGGGTGTCCATGTGAACACATGCAGTGTGAGTTTGTGTCTTTTTTAAAAAAATTTTTTTAAAGCAAGCAGCAAATATTGTAGCAAACAATAAACAAGCTAGTTCATATCTCCCTGAGATGGCACCTGCTGTTGCCTTGACCTTGTTTGTTGCCTATGTAACTTATTATTACACAAGAAACAGCTCAGTATCAGGAAATGGAAAGCTTTGCAAACTGGCACACTCAGCAAGAATATGCAGGGACTTTCAGGCCTGTGGCCGACTGCCTCACCCAGTAGTACATGTTCTCGATGAGATAACATATGGTGATTTTTAGGGGTAGTTGTTCTATTTTCCACTTTTAAAGAAGCATGCCATCCTTTTTACCTTATGTTGCTCTCCAGTTATCACCTTCTTTTCTTGGCCAGCCTGGTTGCTTTGATCTTGTTTCTTTTGAATTTGTCAGTATACTGTATCTGGTTTATAGTCTTACCATACCTCTTTTGCATAATGGTTACTCAATTGCATAAGCTAATAAATATTTTTCAGTTCTCATATTGCTTGATTTCTATTATGTAAATATAGAAATCCTTGGAACTCCTTGAAACTCCTTCCTTATTCCTGATACTAAGAAGCTTTCTGCTTCTCTTGACTTCTCTGGCTTTTCTTCTCTTAGAGAATTCTTTTTGTACTTAATCCATACTCCTTAAAATATTCATACTTTCCATGGCATGGAATATTATACTAGTCTACTTACTACTTCCTTCCTTCACCCGACCATCCTTCATTGTATCATTTGCACTACATGGGTCATATTTGTGGAATACAAGTTGAGTATCCCTAATCTGAAATCCAGGATGCCCTCAAATCTGAAACTTCTTGAGTGTCACATGATGCCACAAGTAAGTACTTAACATGTAAGTACTCAACCAACACAAACTTTGTTTCATGTACAAAGTTATTAAAAATATATCAAATTATCTTCAGGCTATATGTATAAAATGTATATAAATGAATTTTGTGTTTAGACTTGGATGCTATTCCCAAAATATCTCATTATGTATACGCAGATATTCTAAAATCTGAGTAAATCTCAAATTTAAAACACTTCTGATTCCAAGCCTTTGGATAAGAAATATTCAACTTGTGTAAGTTCTGTTTTGTCTTTTGGCTCAGAAACCTTCAGTGGCCTCTTATTGAGTCTGCCTCTAACATGTAATAAGATTTAATATTATAATTTTCAAATATATAGAAAAGTTGAAAGAATTGTACAGTTAACCACCCTATAAATTGTAGGGTCTATAGTTGTTAACAGTTTGTTATTTTTTTACTGTTGTAAATCTGTCAATCCATTTTATTTTTTTATTTTCTGTATATAAAATTTTATTGAATCACAGCCATACCTATTCATTTACAAAGGCAGAGTTGAGTATAGTCATGTGCTGCCTAATGGTGCAATATTTCATTCAAGGAGGGATGTCATAACAATAAGGGGCTGTATATATGACAGTGGTCCCATAAGATTATCTATGTTTAGATACATAAAAACCATTGTGTTACAATTGCCTACAGTATCGAGTACATGCTGTGCAAGTTTGTAGCCTATTGGCTATACCAGATAGCTTAGATATACCATCTAGGTTTGTGTTAAGTATAATCTATGAAGTTTGCACAATGATGAAATCACCTAACAAAGCATTTCTTAGAATGCATCCCCATCATTAATCTATACATAACTATATTTGAGACAGAGTCTGCAGAGCCTGAAATATTTACTATTCTGCCTGTTTTATTGAGCTTGGACTGCTATAACAAAGTACCATAGACTGAGTGGCTTAACAGAAATTTATTTTTCAGATTTCAAGCCTGGTAAATTCAATATCAAGATGCAGACCAATTTGGTTCTTCAGAGAGAGCTCTCTTCCTGGCTTATAGATGGCCAGAATGTGTCCTAACAAGGTGGAGAGAGAATTCTTCCTCTTATGAGATGCTACTGCTCTCATGGAGACTCTACCCTCAAGACCTTATCTAAGCCTAGTACCTCCAATGGGCTCCACCTTTAAATATCATCACTTTGGGGATTAGGGTTTCAACATATGAATTTTGGGTAGACACAGACTTTCAGCCTACCATTGCCCTTTATAGATCAATTTTACTGGCCCAGTACAGAATGTTACTATTACCCTAGAAAGTTCCTTTATTATCCTTATGAGTTTCTACCCCACAGGTGACTATTCTGACTTTTTCACTTATAATTAGCTTGTTTTGCCAATTCTAGAATCATATAGCTATAGTCTATAAAGTGCTTTCATTCAGTGTGAAGTTTTTTAGGTTGATCTATGTTATTGTGTATATCAGTAGCCCTTTTTTTGTGGAATAATTTTTCAGCATATAAATTGTATGAATATATTATAGTGTATCCATTGCTCTGTTGCTGGATATTTGAATTGTTTCCAGTTTTTGGCTATTATTAATAAAGTTGTTATGAATATTCTTGTGCAGATCTTTTTGTGGACATATGTTTATATTTTTCTTAAGTGGAATTACTGAGTAAAAGAGTAGGTGTATGTTTAATTTTATAGAGAACTATCAGACTTTTTTCCAAAGTAGTTCTACCATTTTACACTTCTACCATCAATGTGTGAAAGTTTTGGTTGTTCCATAACCTTGGTAAAATTATGTTGTCAGTCTTTTTAATTTTAATCATTCTAATGGGCTTACTGAATTTTTGAAGTTTAAAATTCCTGTTGTAAGTATGCACATTCCTTGAAAAAGCCTTCCATAGTTGTACAGTGTCATATATTACCAAGATTGGTGAGATACAACATGGGGAGCATCATTTCAGGTAGTAGTAAGTGCTTTGAAGAAAACAAAGCAGGTTAATGGAATAAATAATAAATTTTTTCAGTAGTGAAATGGCAATAACAAAACAGTAATTACTTACATTATGTCAGTAATGCTGAGAACTATGCTAAGTGCTATATACATATTAGCACATTTAACCCTTTGCACTCGCTTGCTTTTTTCTCATTATCCACTCGACATTATCCACACTCGACATCTGAGTGCAAAGGGTTAATCCTTAGGATACCTTTTTGAAGTATAAAGGATAATGTCATTATTCTCATTTTGCAGATGAGAAACATGAAACACAAAGAAGTTAAATAGGCCCAGCTGTGATGGAGCTGGAATTCAGACCTGGGTGTTTATAATGCAGTGTAACAAACTACTCCAAACGCAAGCATTTTATTATCTTTCAAGTTTCCTTGGGTTGACTGTGAGCAGCAGAGTAGTTCTTCTACTCCATGTGATGCTAGCTGGGGCCACAGCCATTCTGGGGCCCAATTGGGTTGGAACTTCCAAGATGGCTCACTCACTTGGCTGGCAGTTGATGTTGACTCTTTTCTGGGAGCTCAGCTGGGACTGTTGACTGGAGCATCTCGGGTCTCTTCTGTGTCCCCTCTGAATGTAACCTTGGCTTCTCATAGCATGGATGGAAGAGGAAGCTGCCATTCTTTAGACCAGGGCGTAGAAGTTCAGAATGTCATTTCTGCTGCATCCTATTGGTCAGAACAGTCATAAGGCCAGCCCAGATTTAAAGGGAGAGGAAATAAACTCCATTTCTCAATGCAGGGGAAGGGGAGGAAGAGGAGGAGGGGGCACATGAGCATACATGGAGGGAAGTAATTGATGGTGGCCATCTTTGCAATGATACAGCACATCAGTCAATCAGTGGTAGATAGGGATCAGGTTAGTCAGGGAATTCCATCCTCTATGAGAGTATGACAGTCAGCATGAGATTTGATTGAAAAGTAAAGATCTAGTTCTAGTTGATGAATATTACAGGTGAGATAATGGCCCATAGTGGAAAGGAGTCTGTTCATTTAAGACATAGAAGGAAAGCTGTGTGACTCCAGCTGGGTGAAAGGGATGGCTTAGAGTGGAATGGAACAAAGCATGGAAATAAATTGTATGCTGGATTTGATAGAAGACTAGAACTCTCATTTATAACTCCAGTTTATAATTTTTGTTTCCTGAAAGCAGTCAGGTCTTGCTACATAATTTGTAAGACCCAATGCCAAATAAAAATATGGGGGGACCAGGGGTGGGAAGTCAATCTCCTTTTTCTACAGGACCCCCTTTCTCCAGGTCTGCAGACCCCCAGGGGATTGCAGTCTCCATGCCAGGCCATGCTCATCACCTGGATCAGCAATAGGAAAGAAGCCCTTCTGGTTTGCCCACTGAATGTGCTGTGATGATGCTAGTCTGGGATAGGGATGGCCATCGCCTTGCCTTGCCCCCAGTCACAGGGTAAGAATGAGAGGTTGAGCTGAGCCAGGGGGTTCAACTGACTGAAAACCCTTCCTGCAGAGGCAGACTGCTTGTGAGCTGTTCTAAGTCCCTCACACATGCTTCACTGGAGTTCTGTTGAAGTTCATTTATAAAACTCATTTTCAAAGATAAAATTTCAAGGCAGTGACCACACAGTATTAAACCCCTGTCATGGGGTCCTCCTGAGTGGGGTCCTGTGTGACTACAGTGATCAATATGCTCATAAAGATGTCCCTGAAAACAGTGTCACTGCAGGTGTGGTGGTGGTTATGGTGATGATGTAGACCAGGGGTTACTGAACTTTTATCTATCAAAGATAAGATAGTAAATATTTTAGGCTTTGCAGTCAATGTGGTCTCTGTCTCAACTACTGAAGCCTGCCTTTGTAGCACAGCGGTATCCATACCAAATATGAAAACATGAATGTATCTGTGTTCTAATAAAACTTGACTTGGGAAAACAGACAGTGGGTTGGATTTGGCCTGCTGGCTGCAGTTTGCCCACCTTGATGTGATGCGATAGGAATGTACCTTATGTAGTCCTGAAGCTTGGGCCTGCTGAGGATGCTTCTGAGAAATTAATTTTTTATTTCACCCCTTGTCTTTAAATGAATCCTTAGCAATGTGGTAAGGTTGTTTTGCATCCCTTACATGTACCTGGTAATCAGGCAGGCACAATCTGTCACTAGAATTGGGGTGGAGATGAGTGGGTAGTGGAATAGAGTATAAAACTCCCTGTGATAATGGCAAAGAAACATTTCTCAAGTCTAGTGGAATCTTCATTCTGTTTGAGTGGTCACCTCATCAATGCCATTCTTGACTACCCTGTTTAAGATCACTATACCTCCTTCATGGTACTCCCTATCCTCATTCCCTGTTTCAGTTTTTATCCAAAGTACTTATCACCATCTTATATTACAAATATTTAGCTTATTAATTTCATACCTCCTTTCTTCCTGAACATAAGGCTCATGAGGGTAGAGAGATTTTTGTCTCTTTTGTTCATTGCTATATCTTTCTGTACCTGGTATATGGTAGGCTCTCAACAAGTATTTGATAAGAATGAATGAACAAATGGTGCTAGCTCAAGACCAGTGCTCAAGACCTTGCCTATGTTATTTTATTCTTTCTTTTATATTTGTTTCATCATTGTTGCTTAGACTTGGGCTCCTTAAAGTGGTGGTGGTTTTTCGCGTTCCCTTCCAGCTTAACATCTGTTGCTCAGTCTCCCTGTCTCTTTTGCTCTCTCTCTGACTGGTGTCCCCTAGAGTTGTTCAGTAAGCAACCCATGAAGCCGTAATGTAGTGGCCTTGCTCAGTGCCTTCATTAACTGTGGAGTTGTGGGTACTGCGTTGATTTTCCTCATCTGTTTTATATTGCTCACTTGTCAACTATTTTCTTTCATTCTTTCTTTAATGTCTGACCTACATTCTAAAACATTGTCCAATTGTATGTATGTTGATAGTATATTATTTTAGAATTTTATATCCACTTTCTCTATGTGTAGGCTTGACTCGAGTTTAAGTGGCTATGAAATGGTATGGAATAATTCTGTTGACTTATATTGAATG